TCCTACATAATATAACTATCGTCTATATATTATAAATTAGTGTCCAAAAATACAGTTTTGAACATTCACATTTGCACTTTAATTTGACTAACGCAAATAAAAAATAAATAAAATAAAAAACCTACAACTAAAACTAAAGTGTAATTTATAGCGATTTTCCCTGTATACTCTTATATGTTAATATAAATCGTTRTAATCAAGGACCAATAATTTTTAGATATCTTATAAATTCTGAAAAATAGCTATACATTAAAATGTCCTTAATTATTCCATTTCGTATAATATGGGAGTTAAAATATAATGCTTCCCTGTATATATGTATATAGTGAGAAGATAAAAATGTTTACCTACCATAGCAAATATTTTAGCCTTGGAATACAATTAAATTAATTTAATTACATAAAAATATATAAATACAAATTGATTTCGCTAATACTGAAAAAATTTTCATTCCATTTTTTTTTTAGAAATCTATAAAACTATATTGAAAATGTTCAATGTTTCCATTAACTATGGTTTTTCAAGGGCAATATTGCAAATTTTTAAAAATGTACACTGATTAGAATAACATTGAATGATAATATGATATATATAAGTAAAATTAAAAAACGTATATTTTTAGAGAAAATAATAATATGCGATCATGAAGCACTTTAAACCTAAATCAAATAAATCAGTATTTTAATTTGTATGTACCTCCATTTGAATGAAAATCATTTAGTTTGAAAAACTGATATAGGTAATAATAATGCTAATATTATAGGCGCATGGTTAATTTAACAATGAACGACATGTTGTTAAAGCGGTGTGGACTTAAATATTTTTAAACTACATCAATGAACCAATGAAATAAAAAACGGATCGAAAAAATCCACGTAAAATAAAATAAACATCATTGTAGGTAAAACCTTTATTAAAAACTTTTCATTGGACTTCTATACCAGATAGGTATTGACTATTAAAATCAAGTAATTACTGAAAAAATAAAACATTAAAACATGTCTTAAAAAAAAAAATATACTCTTTGTAAAGAAAACTGAGTGACCAATATATATAATATATATATTATAGGTTTATAATTGAACAATATTATTTATAARGACTTTTTTATAA